GCACACACCGCGTCCTCGCACCCCTCATTGTCCTGGAAAGAAATTCACGACGTAATCCAGCTCGCATTTCCTTAAATGAATTTGACAAACAGAGGTCTGGCGGCCAGGCTGCACCCAGGACAAACCCCTGCGCAGGTTCTCGCGCTCTCATCCGAGCAAGCGGCCACCACACCCAGGCCTTGCGCAGCCACAGGGCTCCCGGCGCTTTCGCGAAACGCCGCGTCCAGAATCCCCGTGGAGAACACCCGTGTCGGTAAGTCTGAACTAATCTGCACTTAGCTCTTGGCTGTGTGTCGTCATAGTCCATTCCCACACATATTGCCTGGATTTTTTTACTGATGTAAATTGTCAAAAAATCTTTCTTTTAGTGTGTCTTTCAGTTCTTCTGACAGCAGAGCCTCAGACACAGTCTTGGGTATAAGTGGTTTGTTGGGGGAAGTGATCCCATGAAACAGAAGTGGGGGGGGGGGAACGACCCAGGAAGGGAGGAATCCAAACACGGGGCTGTGTTCCTGAAGTCACTGTCCTGGGTAACAGCCCCCTGGCTTCACCAGGACCTCCTGAGAAGTGTACAGAGCCTCCTAGGATTGTCCTATTCATCCACTGGCCCCTGTCCCCAGCCACTGCGGTTGCCCCCAGAGACCTAGGCTGTGCTGGTGAGCAGGCCAGGTGAGCTCCTGTGGTGACAGAGAGGGCCTGGGGCAGAGTGCCAAGATACACAGCAAGTGCCCGAGAGCAGCTGTTAAGTTCACTGCAGTAAAGGTGGGCTGAGGACATCAGTCAAAACACCAGCTCTGGGACCCCTCAGGCCCACTTAGGCACCACACCTGAGGGCTGGCCACCCTTACAAAAGCCTTAATAAGAGTCCTGAGTTAGAACAAACACCGCCCACTGCTGCAGCCACTCCCCTGGCTGTAACTCATATCCCCCACCTCCTTAGCCCCTGTCCATTCTTGGTTTCTCGCCCACGGCCAGTACTTCAGTTGGCCCACGTGGCTTGCCTGGTGGGGTTACCCAGACTTTCACGCCTGAGGGGTTTGACCCCTTGGCTGCCTTGCCCTTGGCAGACTGTGGCTGCTGAAAATACCCTCCAATTGGCATGGGAGGAACCAGACAGACCCAGGTGAATCCTGCGAGTGCCAAACCAGCTCCCAGTGCCCATGACGCAGCAGCAGCCCCATCTCCTCACCATCAGCAGGGTCAGCTACCTCTCCTCTTTCTGCTGGTGCGCCAGCACAAGGACCTCAAAGTGACCTGGTGGAATTCGCAGGTTCAGGGTCAGTGTTGGCGTCCTTCCCTGGAAACAAGGGAAGTGCCCTTGTGGAGTTGTCCCCTACCTCAGAACCAGGGACTCTAATCCAGCACAGACAGAATGTACAAATTCTACCAGTGGGTCACTGAGGATACGGCAACAGAGCTAATCCCAACCCCTGCTGCATGCATGCGTCTTTGTATCTGCTGGGGGCACAGATCCGTACCCTGGGCTTTGATCCAGTGCATGTGCCCCAACTGCTCTAATGCTGTCCCAGAGCTGGGACCTTAGCTGAGTCCCAAAGAGGGCATTCCATCTCCTATTAGACGGGCTGCGTGTCCATTACGCAGGTCAGACAGCACTGCATCCGTGGTGATCTGTACATTGTAAACCTGTCACTTGTCCAGAGGTGATGTTCTACACGACCCCATGCTGACAAACCACAGCAATCTCTAAGCCCCTGCATTGTGATGCGACTCTGAGACACTGTGCTTAGAGACAGCAAGCACATTCCCAGAGCTGTCAGTTCCAGTAAAGATGAATCAATGCCCCCTCCTGGGTGGAACAGATCTGCTGTAACCAACCTGCACGGAGGGATGCTGCCATGTCAGGAGCTCGGCACTGGTCTTGGCTGCTAACGGGTCAGAAATGCATCAGCAGTCATAATTAGATAAGCCTTGCTAAGACAGCACTCGTGTTGGTGGGCATAACTGGCACTCCTACTGCCGCGGCAATGCACAGGGTGGCCTCGCACAGAAGCTGCCTCACATTTGCCCACCCAGTTGTTCAGTGACCTCTCTGCGGGGGCCTTAACATGAGGCACCGAGATCACACACTGGAACCACTCCCATGGGCCCACCTGCTTCCCCAGACCTCCTCGTCGCCAGTATTCCCTCTTGGCCTTTCCAGGTCCCTGACCAACCAGCAAGACATCTGTCACGACCCAAAGTTCACGTGCATTCCTTCCTTAGACCACTGCTCTACCCACTACACTTGCTCCCTATAAAGTGGACATCCACGTGCACTGCTTGGAGCTCTGGCCTCTGCAGGACCTGCCCTCATCTCTGTCCTTCAGAGCCACCCGAGTGGGACTTTAGTGCTTCATTTTCAGCTCATATCAACACATCGAGCTGAACCATCTGTGAATCAGCCTGACTTGTTTTTCCTGTCTGCTAAGAGAAAGGCACCAGGCCAGGTGGGAGACACGTGGGCCGCAACCACCTCTCCCTGTAAATGACTCGTGCCCTCTGGACAAGCTTGGGATCAATTATTTTGCTCAATTGTTACTGAGCCTGCCTAACCTACTGGCCTGGTGATCAGTCAATACCTAGCTCAGGATGGGCAGATTCGGACACATGGTCAACAGATGTCCCATAACCAGGCACTCAGTCTCTACTTGGGTCCAGTTGTGTGGGAGGAGCTGCTTTCAATTGGTGAGTAGCTCCCCACCACACCAGGCAGTCTTGCTTCAGACCCCTGGAAGTGTACAAATCTCCTGGGGGAGCCTGCCAAAGGTGCGACAGGGTCCCTATCTGCCACAAGCCCAACTGCAACCCACTGGTTATGCTAAGTGGCAGGGGACCCCTCCTCCAGTCTGGATCTTCAACAGACCTTATCTTTGTTCTGGGCCCCCCTCACAACCGGCAGTCTTCCAAGTCACCACAAATGAGTCAGAATAATATCCCCACTGTGGCTGGTACGTGTTGACTCCCAAATTCAGAGGCACAGAAGTGCTGTGCAAGACAGGGGCTGCAAGATGTAGTAATTTGTCCTCATCCTGGAGGGGACACCCTGGCTTGCCCTACAGTGCTGCACCCCTGAAAACTTCACTGCTGAAAGACTCCAGAGCTTCCGAGGGCTTATTTCATTCTCTGACATGCACTGTCTTACCGAGGACAGAGCACTTGGCACTTCCTTCTTCACCACGTCCTGTTAGCGTGTCGTCAGTGTTGTGTGGACTGTCGGGGTGAGCAAGGCCTCCATGGATTAGACTGTGACAGAGAGCAGCAAGTTACAATAGCCTTGAGAAAACACAGTGATGTTGTCCTTCCTATACAAATGTGAGCTGCTTTTGGAAATTTCCTCTTTACTACTAGAAACTGAAAAGGATGTTCACACCAATAACTGCATCATCAAGTGTGCACTACCAGAGGCGCATTCCGCTGCTGTGACTGGGGACGCTCCTTGGCTGGCGCTGTGGTAGTCCACCATCATTGACTTGAATCCGTCTGGATTTTGCAGGGGTCATTCAGGTGAACTGAAGAGGATGGACTGTGGACCTCCACTTTATGTCCTTCAGTGACACAACGTCTGCAGTCCCACCTGGAATGCACACTGTCTGTCACTTACTGTCCTGGAAGGGGTGGGAGTGGGGCGGGGAGTTCCAGGGACACCCACTTTGCTCTAGCTATCACGATTCTTATTCCACAGGCCGGGGATCCAGGTGCAGGCTGTCCCCCAGGATGGCACAATCACCCAAGTGTGTGCTGGGCCAGAGAAGGAACCCCAGGACTTTACTGTCTGACTCCCAGAGCTCTTCTTCTAAGCAGCAGCTCTGGTTACCCAGCTGGCTACCCAGCACAGGTGTCCGCTCAGATCCTGTGTCTAACAGCCCCTGAAAGGTCTGGATGGCCCCTTTTCCAAAGTACATCAGTTAGTCTGTTAGATGGCTCTAGGTCCCTTCGGGGAAGGACTGGAGGAATGTTTTTGTATATACTTGTTAGCATTGTAGGATTCTTACTCGAAGGGACCAAGCCTCCCTGTCAACCGGGGAGCTCCAGGTCTCAGCACTGGCTCAGATTTATATAGATTTCCCACCCAGCAACTGACATTTGCCTTTTGGACACCAATTCTTGATTTCTTCCTGGTTATTCAAATCAAACCACTCTAGCCAGTTGCCCATCTATTCCACCAAAAGGATGCCATGGTCCCACAAGCACTGCCACAGATACCACAGATCCCTGGGGGTCAAGTCACGGTGCTGGCCCCTTGAGCCTGGGTCAGCAGCAGAAATGCAGGAGGCTGGCTGTACTTAAGGTGGGACCCCATCCACGTGCCCAGGTGGGCCAAGGGGACGTGACACACAGCTCCAGGTGTCGGCTCCCAGGTGTGAGCCTTCTCCTCCTGGGCTTGATGTGGTCATTAGTCGCAGGTCTGGAGACAGGAGGGGGAGTGGGGTAGCGGTGGGGGTGGGGCACGGGGACCTTAGTTTCAGGCAGGACAACCAGAGCCTCCTTTCACAGCTTCGCTTCAGCTGACAAGGGGGCTCAGCGGTGATCAGGAATTCAAGGTACCTGGTTGTCACTGGAATTGTCCTCAGGGTCCCAATCTTGCATCCACATCAAGTGTTGACTCGGCACCTCCCACGTGCCACCCACTTTCCACCTCCCCGGGTGTGGCCCGCTCAGGACTGGCCGCACTCACAGAGGGGCTCTCTTCCTCGCCGACTGCCCCAGGGGGCGCTCCCGCCCATGGCGAAGGCCCACCTTCCCTCACCTGCACCTTCCCAGGGGCACCAGCCACTGAGCGCTCGGGCCCTTCCGCACCCGCACACACGCAGCTGCGCGCGCCCCGGGGACGCACCCCCCCCCCCCCCCCGTCCGCGAGAGTCGCCCACGCGCACGGCGCCGGCAGCGCGCCCGACAGCTCGCGACGCTTCCGATTGGCCCGCGCGGTTTCCGCGTTCCGGGCCACGGCCCAAACAGCCGCCCGTCTCCCGAGCGGCCCCGCCCAGAGGGAGAGGCCATTGGTGCTCGCCCCGAGCGGGGGGGCACCGCCGAGACGCGCCGAACTTGGCCTTCGGAAAGGGCACTCGGGCCAGGGTCCCGGAGACAGCCGAGCGGCGCCGCACGGAACCGAACAGAGCCGGAGAGACCCGAATCCGACCGGAGGAGAGCAGGCGGCCGGAAGCGGCGCCGAGCGCAGCCGGAACAAGCCGAGCCCGCCCGAAGGGGCTGAGCCGCGTTGGGCGTTGGACCGGGTCGAGCCCGATCCATGGCGGCGGAGGGGGCCGCTGTGGCCGGAGGCGGTGCAGCCAGCGGCCGCCTGGCCCAGGACAGCTTGCGGCAGTCTAAGTGCCCAGACGCGGCCCAGAACCGGCGGCGCGGCTCGGCGCAGTCGCAGGACGCCCAGCGCCGAGCCTTCCAGTGGTGCCGGGAGTACCTGGGCGGGGCGTGGCGCCGACTGCGGCCGGAGGAGCTGAGGGTGGACCCCGTGAGGTGGGAGGTCAGGGGCGGGCCGGGGGCCGGGGGCGCGGACGCGGGGCCGGCGGGGGGCGCGGACGCGGGCTGAGCGCGCCCTGCTGTGGGTCTGCAGCGGAGGCCTCAGCAACCTGCTCTTCCGCTGCTCGCTGCCGGACCACCTGCCCAGCGTTGGCGAGGAGCCCCGGGAGGTGCTGCTGCGGCTGTATGGGGCCATCCTTCAGGTGAGGAGGGAGCGAGGGCGCGGTGGTGGCCTTAGGACTTCTCACCTAGGCGTGGCAGGTGCTTTTGTCCCCGTCGTAGTTAAGGACGCTGAGGCGCAGGGGCTAGGTAACTGGCCCGTGATCCTACTAAAGGCACTGGAACAAGAAGTCTCCCCTGTGATGGGAGGAGTGAGCCGACCCTCCTGGCTTGTCAGCGCGCTTTGCCGCTGGCCGCCTGACTCCTGCCCCTTGCTGTCCATCTTCCTTCAGGGCGTGGACTCCTTGGTCCTTGAAAGTGTGATGTTCGCCATCCTTGCAGAGCGGTCTCTGGGGCCCCAGCTCTACGGAGTCTTTCCAGAGGGCCGGCTGGAGCAGTACATCCCAGTAAGAGCCCAGCGCCGCCCAGCCTCCACCCCGCTTCCCGGTGTCTGCCCTCACATCCTGCACCCCTGGGAGGGCATTTCCCCCACCCTCCCCCCTCCTGCCCCAGCCCCCTCACCACCCTGATAGGTTCCTGGGTGCAGAGCCGGCCACTGAAAACGCGAGAGCTTGCAGAGCCCGTGCTGTCTGCAGCCATCGCCACGAAGATGGCCCAGTTCCACGGCATGGAGATGCCTTTCACTAAGGAGCCCCACTGGCTGTTTGGGACTATGGAGCGGTGAGTATGGGGCCTCCTCAGGGCTCCTCACACTGGGCCGAACCCTCATGTTGGCACTTAACCACACAAGGCCGCCACTGAACGCATCGATGACTGTCCCACTGACCATTTGAGTGGACCCGGTGTCCCAGCGTCCAGCACTGTCTCTCACAGGGCAGGCTTCCAAACGTTTGCCAGACAAGTCATAGTGACAGGAAACGGGTAGGACAGCCGTCCTGGGGTAGAGAGGAAGGTGGCAGGGCTAGCAGAGCGTGTCCTGTTCCCTGGACTTCAGGTACCTGAAGCAGATCCTGGACTTGCCCCCCACGGACCTCCCCCAGATGAACCTGCTGGAGATGTACAGCCTGAAGGACGAGATGGGCAACCTCAGGTGAGGGCAGGCAGGCGGGCGAGCAGGAGGGCACAAGAGGTGCTGCCAGGAAACTAACGGTGTCCTCCTCAGAGTCACTCCTGCTCAGACACATGCTACTGCTCCCTGCAGGAAGTTGTTAGACTCCACCCCATCACCAGTGGTCTTCTGCCACAATGACATCCAGGAAGGTAGGAGAAGTCATCCAAGCCTCCCAACCTGAAGTGAGGGGCCAGAGGGCCCCAGAATGACCAGAAACTACTCGCGCTCCCCCACCCCCCAGGAAACATCTTGTTGCTCTCAGAGCCAGGAAATGCCGACAGCCTCATGTTGGTCGACTTTGAGTACAGCGGTTACAACTACAGGTGAGGGTGGGGGACGGCCTCCACGGGTTCATCTCCACAGTGCCCAGGCCTTCTGCCTGCCTCCCAGCTGCCCAGGGGACTCGGGGACTAAGCGTCCACCCTGTTCCCCCAGGGGCTTTGACATTGGGAACCATTTTTGTGAGTGGGTTTATGATTATACTCATGAGGAGTGGCCTTTCTACAAAGCGCAGCCTGCAGACTACCCCACCCGGGCACAGCAGGTAAGTGGGCCAGAGGCTGGGGGCGGCACTTGGCCTGTGAGAGGGAGGACGATGTTGAAGTCTGGAAGGAATGGTGAGAAAAAGGGTATTAACTGGGAAATGCCCCAGTCTCCCCGTTTCCTGACTCTTGTCTGTTGACCTCAGCTCCATTTTATTCGCCATTACCTGGCAGAGGTAAAGAAAGGTGAGACCGTCTCCCAAGAGGAGCAGAGGAAACTGGAAGAAGACCTGCTGGTAGAGGTTAATCGGTGAGGAAAAATGGTGGGGGTGGGGCAAAGGAAACGGGCTGCAGAGGAAAGAGGCTGAGGAACAGGCAGACAGGTGCGGGTGCAAAGTGGGGGCTGGGCTGGGAAGTCAGGACAGGGTGGGGTCGGGTGGTGGGGCAGAAGTTAGAGCTTTGGGATCCAGCAATGCCTCGCCCCTCAGGTATGCCCTGGCATCCCATTTCTTTTGGGGTCTCTGGTCCATCCTCCAGGCATCCATGTCCACCATAGAATTTGGTTACTTGGTGAGTAACCCAGATGGGCGAGTTAGGTGGGGGAGGGGGACAGCAGGGGTCTGGTGTGCTCCAGGACATCTGTGGGCAGACGGGGCTGTGGGTGCTGGCCCCGGACCTTCTCACCAGTGTGTGGGGTGGGTTTCTTCCCCAGGAGTATGCCCAGTCTCGGTTCCAGTTCTACTTCCAGCAGAAGGGACAGCTGACCAGCTTCCAACCCCCATCCTGACTCTCCACCCCAACGCTTTGGATTTTCCTGGAGCCTCCAAGGCAGGACCTTGGAGGGAGGGGCAAAGTCCAAAAGGCCCTGGGGACTGGGCTGAGCCCCCTGTGACATGGGTTGAGGAGACTGACCTCTCCCACAGTATGAGCAGGTCCCCACAGTAGGCAAGCGGGCGGGAGCCCCTGGGCTGTGCGCCTTAAGACAATAAACGAGCTTCTTCCTTCACACTTTGTCCTGGCCCTGCTCAGTGCAGCAGAAAATACCAACCAGGGATGCACCCGGATTGACAAAATGCCCACTGCTCTCAGCCTCACTTTCCCCTCCTAAAAAGCATGGCTGTTGAGTGCTCTGGGCTTGAAAGTGGTTATGGGTCCATTCTGCCAGTTGGAGCCCCCTGCCCTCCCCCCTCCCTGGCTCCAGCTTAGAAGTGATAAATACTAGGAGGAATTGGGGGGGAGGACTGGGCAGTAATGGGGGTGCAAAGAGGGCCCTGGGGTGGGGCTTCCCAACCCTGTGCACTGGTGATCAGGGCCCAGGCAGCACAGCTGACAAGCTGATGACCCTTTCCCTACATTCAGCTATTTTTAGCTCTAATGCCACCATCCTCACGTGAGACCCTTTGCCCCCCCCCGCCCCCCCAACACATACACAAGGTCCCCAGACCTTTAAGCAATCTACAGCTTGGAGAAACCCGGCCCTCCCACTCCCGATTCCCGCCTTGGAGGGGTGGGGATTCTGGTTGCCGCCCCGCATCTGTTTTCTCAACCCAAATTTGGGAGTGGGTGTCAGGTTCCCCGTGAGGGCGGGGCGGGGCGGTGGCCAGCCTGAAGGACATAGGGACACGGGCCAGAGCGACTGGCCCCACACGCCGACAGGAGTGAACCTGAGCTGTGAGTGGTGTAGGGGGCAACGCGGGGCCACCCGCCTGGCTCAAGAGTGCAGTGCGGGGGCGAGGACAGCACCGGGGTCCCACGCGGTCGGGGCTGGGGGCCTGGACCCCGCCTTGCTCCAGACAACAACGCTTTCCAGATCACCTTTCACCCCCATCCTGAGGCCGCCCTTCACTGTCCTCGGAGATCCTGAAGCTTCCAAGGCCTCGACCCTTCCCCGACCCCTACACCATTCTGGCGGAGCCTGCCCAGAATGCCAGCGCGAGGGTTCCCTGGCCGTTGGCCGGGCTGGGTAGCTGGGCGAGCTCGGGCTGGCCTGGGACGCTGGCGGGGAGGCCCCTAGCCGAGTGAGGGCAGCTGCAAGCGGGGGGCGGGGCTTGGGCGGGGGGCGGGACTGGCCTGAGTCCGTCCGCGCACCCTCCTGCCTCTCCCAGGTGCGGACTAACCCCCAGGATGGCGGAAGCGCACCAGGCCGTGGCCTTCCAGTTCACCGTGACCCCAGATGGGGTCGACTTCCGGCTCAGTCGGGAGGCCCTGAAACACATCTACTTATCTGGGATCAACTCCTGGAAGAAGCGCCTGATTCGCATCAAGGTGGGTGCACCTGGTTCTGGCCTCTTCCTCTCCCAGCAGGTGCAGAATAGAGCCTTCTAGAGGCAGAGACCAGGCGTCCGCTGCTGCCCCCCACTATCAAGGTTCTCCACCCCCACCTTGGCTGGCAGTTCTGCAGAACGCAGAGGGGTGCTTAAGGCATGGAAGGGAGACAGGCATGCAAGAATGGCAGTGGGACGTTGGAATTGGGTGCTGCGGGTGTGGGAATGTGGAGGCGGGGCAGACCAGACTTGGAGGAGGAGTAAGAACACAGCAGGCAGCAAGCCTTCTGCGCAAAGACCAGGACCCCACAGGCTGGCTTGCTGCAGCCCTTCTGCTCTGTAAGCATGCCTGTCTGCCCCACAGAATGGCATCCTTAGGGGTGTGTATCCTGGCAGCCCCACCAGCTGGCTGGTCGTCGTCATGGCTACAGTGGGTTCCTCCTATTGCAACGTGGACGTCTCCATGGGGCTGGTCTGTTACATCCAGAAACACCTCCCTGAGGGGTAAGAAGCGGAGCCACAAGAGAGGGCCAGGGAGGCTCCAAGGCCAGGGTTTCTGAGCTGGGCATATACAGGACAATAGCCAGTGGAGGTCGTAAGGGCAGCCCTTCCCGGGGCCACCATCACCTCAGTCCCATGTCCATAAGTGCATATGTGTTACGCTCAGTCGTGAGTGTGCCCAGGGAGGTCCTTCCTTGGTGCCTCCCCAAGGCTCACCACCATTGAGATTGCTGCCCTCTCCACCCAAGGCTGGCCTCCAGGGGACCCCTGCAGCCCTCTCCCCTCTGAGACTGGCCTCCAGGGGACCCCTGCAGCCCGCTCCCCCACGAGGCTGGCCTCCAGGGGACCCCTGCAGCCCGCTCCCTTCTCTGACAGATATGGCCCCTACCGAACCCCACAGACGCGGGAACTTGTCAGCATGGCCATCTTCTCCACGGGAGTGTGGATGCTGGGCATCTTTTTCTTCCGCCAAACCCTGAAACTGCTTCTTTCCTACCACGGCTGGATGTTTGAGATGCATGGCCGGACCAGCCACTTCACCAAAGTCTGGGCTGTGAGCAGAAGCTAGTGGAGGGCCTCAGGCATCTGGTTGGGGACTCTGGGGGCCTCATTTGCGGTCCTGAACTGGAGAGGAGAGGCAGGCGGGCACTGGTGCCTGGCATGTGGGCTTGTCCTGGTTCTGGGGGCTTGGGGCCCAGCTCCTCAAGTGTTCACTAGTTTGTTTCCATTCACTCCCCTGGCTCCCAGCCCAGCACTCTCTGCCCTGTACCCACAGATCTGCGTTCGCCTTCTGTCCGGCCGGCGGCCCATGCTCTACAGCTTCCAGACATCCCTACCCAAGCTCCCTGTGCCCAGAGTGTCAGCCACGATTCAGCAGGTAAGGGCCGGGGTCAGGCACCCCAGTGGGCGGGGTGGGCTGGATTCAGAGGATTTGTCCAAACAGGAGGGACTGTCCCCTTCGAAGAGTGGGTTTGAGCGCAGTGGGGCTGGGGTCAGAAGAGGGTTGGGACAGAGACAGCCATTGCTGTCCGGCCCCCACGCTGACGGTAACATGGCTGGACAGTACCTGGAGTCAGTGCGGCCCTTGTTGAGTGATGAGGAGTATTACCGCAAGCAGCAGCTGGCCAAGGAATTCCAGGAGAAAACTGCCCCCAGGCTGCAGAAGTTCCTGATCCTCAAGTCGTGGTGGGCGACCAACTACGTGAGTCCCCTCCTGGGCTTCCCCTCACCCACCTCTGTCCCAGCTGCCCACAGCCCACCCTGCACCCAGCTCTAACCACGCCCCCTTCACCCCCCACAGGTGAGTGACTGGTGGGAAGAGTACATCTACCTTCGAGGCCGGAACCCCCTCATGGTGAACAGCAACTATTACGTCATGGTAAGACGTGGGCTCCTGTGCGCTCAGCTCTGAATCCAGTTCTGGGGCTCAGGGCAAAAGACCTGAAGGGCAGCCCAGAGCCCTGGTGGCCGTTTCCATAGGCAGGTGGGGGTTCTGCAGTGAGGCCTGAGGGAAAGGGGAGATGCTGGAAGAATAGTCAGGAACCAGCTTTGGGGCGATGGGGAAACTGAGGATCCAGAGAACCCTGTAACCTCAGAGCCTGACACTGTCCCTCTCAGGGACCCTCAGGCTCACTGCCTGTCCAGGCCCTGTCACTTTTTTCCTTGGTTCCTCACTGGCCACGGGTTCCCAGCCATCCTGATGCCATTCCCACAGGGTCTCCTTTACCATGCCTTCTTTTGAGTCACTCTGTCGATCCGGAGCTGCTTCTCTTAGCACTCAGGAGGTCACTTTGGCCCTCCGCCATGTGACTGGCCAACCTGCCCCAGCACAGGCCTGCACCCGGTCGTGTGCGCGCAGCACACCTCACACCTCTCCCGCTGTCCAGGTCTCATTCTGTGTAGCATGCCGCATCCCTACCTCCACGAAATGTCCTCCCAACCGCCTCCCTCCTCCACCGCCTCTCCTCCTGGCCACGTCCCCTCCTCCAACAAGCGGTCCTCCCAGAAGCCTACACACGGGCACGGCGTGTCCCTACCTGAGGTTTTCAGCTGTTTTTTAGTGGTGGAAACTACTTTCTCAAAGCAAAATTACAAAAACATGAACCAAATAGGTTATGGAAAAGCAGCTTGGGTCAGAATTGAGGCTGAGGAGTGGCGTGGTCATTTCGTCTTTGGCAGTTCATCTGACAGTGAGTGGGGGATAGACTGGGGAAAAGGGGCAAGGCGCCTCAGGTCTGCAGGCAGGGAGAGCCAGGGAGCCAGGCGACCCTGGGCCTGTTGTGGCCGCCTGCAGGCTCCACCCTCTCCCACAGGACTTTGTGCTCATCAAGAACACGCACGTGCAGGCAGCCCGCCTGGGGAACATCGTTCATGCCATGATCACGTATCGCCGTAAACTGGACCGTGAGCAGATCAAGCCTGTGAGTTGTGTTACAGTGGAGGGCATGAAGGGAGAAGGGGCCGCGTCTGAGCTGTGCTGGGCCTTCCTCCCAGGTGATGGCACTGGGCATCGTGCCCATGTGCTCCTACCAGATGGAGAGAATGTTCAACACCACTCGGATCCCGGGCAAGGAGACAGGTACCAGGCGGGTCACAGCCGCGGGCCCATGTGAGGCCATCGAGCCCCTCCCTCCCAGCTGTGAGCCTGCCATGGCTCAGTGTCCTACTACCTGTTTAACCCCAGTGCCCTCAGTGTCTCAGGGTGGTGTAACTGTCAAAACCAGCCAGTTTCTGGCCAATACTAAAAACCTAGTGTTTACAGGAGATGCTGGTGCTGGGACCCTGCGCCCCCTCCAGGGCTCACGTGCAGGGTTGGGGAGACTGAGTACAGAGCATCCAGAGGAACGCTGCTGCCTCTGGACGAGGGCTGGCTCCCGAGGGTCTGGCAGGGGCAGCAGCCTATGTTTGTGACACTGAGACAGTTTGTGTCGTTTCCTTGAGCCGTGGTTCCCCCTTCTGTGAAATGCGTCCTGGGACTGTTGCTGGCGTTAAGCGAGAGACAGAGAAGCACCCAGCACAGGCCCTGGCTTAGTGCGGGGTTGGGGGAGGCCTGGCAAGCCAGGGGTCACAGGGACACCTTGGGAGCACGGTGACCCGCCCTGCACCTCAGCCCATCTGCGGCCCCACAGACGTGCTACAGCACCTGGCAGAGAGCAGGCATGTGGCGGTGTACCACCGGGGCCGCTTCTTCAAGGTGTGGCTGTATGAGGGCTCCAGCCTGCTCAAGCCTCGGGACCTGGAG